CCCCCCAGCGAGGCCGTCATCGGCCCACACAGATCGATATGCCAAAGATCGTGCGGCCGCTCCGCGCGCGTGCCCGATTGGTGAGGCACGCCCGCCTTCTTCCCCTTCGCCTGCAGACATCCACCACAAGGCTGCAGGACACCGGTCAGTCGGAGACCGTGCTGCTTCGCAAGCTCACGCAAAAGAAACTCATTGGCGTGGGAGCACGAAACGTGGAGAAGATTAACAATAATCTTGGTAGGTTTCCCCACCGAAAAAGGGCGCCTGCCCGGGGCCATGACGGGGACAGCGAAAGCAACATCATCGAAGACATTTGCAAATCCAGCCTCAAACATCAAGTCTAAAAACTCGTAGGGGTCTTCTAATACCTCTCTTTGTTCCAGTAGGTACACAGCCCGCTCGTAATCTCCCTGCTCTGTGTACGGAATGCATCCACGGTCATCATCGTCATTACTCTCCTGAAAAATGGAGATGTCGGACGAGGGCAGCCCGGGAACAGCTACCAACTCCATACCATGCGGCACTTGAAGAGCGGAAGGAAACACCACACTCCTGTCAGCGGGGATGGGGACATACATTGCCGGAGGAACGACGCTGCTCGCAGCGGGCGGGAGACTGTACACAATTGATGACACTACGCTGTTTGCAGCGAGCGGGAAACCGGGCACAGTAGAAGGCACTACGCTGTTTGCAGCGGGCGGGAAACCGGGCACAGTAGAGGGCACTACGCTGTTTGCAGCGGGCGGGAAACCAAACCGTGGAAGGTACGACGCTGGCAGAAGCGGGCGGAAAACTCGATACGGTGGGTTGAATAACACTCCCGGGAGTGTTATGAGGTACAGACATCGCCGGAGGCACTACGCTGCTTTCAGCGGGCGGGACACCTGACACTGCGGAAGGTATGCTACACCCGGAGGGGGGGGAAACACCGGTGGGGTTTCTGGCATCCCTCTAACATTACTCGCATGTAAACGTACACCAGCAGCGCGAGGAGGGGGCACCGGGGGAAAAAGCATCACAGGCACAGCGGTGGGCGTTTCATAGTTGGGCGGCAAGCGTATGGCCCAAAGCGACGAACCCCTCTCGCCACGGGGAAAGGTCAATTGGCCATGGAAAAGATGGGTGCCTACGTCGTCCAAGGCAATACGTTGCAATCCCTGTGCTTGGTGGAGGGAGAAAAGATTGAACCCCATTCCTTCTACATGACGTACTTGGGTAAGCTTCACGCAAAAGTCTCTACCTTCAAAATGAAACCTCACGTTTAATCATCCGATTCCAAGCACTCGCATCGTCCTGCCATCACCAATCTGCACTCTCTCGCTACCAAGGGGAGGGATGATCACATCGTACATGTTCGTGGGGTCTCCGGTGGTGTGGTTAGTTGCACCGGAGTCTGCAAGCCATTCTTCAACTCCTACACGCTCCGCCCTCACAACCGGTATAGAGTTCATCAAGGCATACCCCTCACCCCCTACGAATCCACTCGAAATCTCACTCTGGTACTCACTTGACATGTCCCTTACAACACACGCATGCAAAGTCCCCCCTGCCGACGAAGGTGCTCCGGTCGAAGGCACGGGAGAGGCGTAAGGGGCGGGGACTGGCTGCTGCTGTTGGAAGGGTGGGGATAGGTACTCCGGCTGCTGCTGTTGGCGTGGGTATTCGTACACACCGCTCGCGTGCGTCACCGGTTGTTGATAAACACCGGTCACGTGCGACACTGCATGCCCCCCCGTAGATGGTGCTGCCGTCGTCGCCACCGTCGCTCCCGTTGCTCCTGGCTCTACCCCTTCTCCGCCGTACTGCTGCGCGGTGTTGGCCTGCCCGTACGAGTGGGCCCACGGCGGCCGCTGGCTG